ACAGTGAGCCTGAGTTACTGTAAGTGAAGCTCCAAGGGCGGGATCAGTGAGAGGACGGCTCAGCGAGTAAAGGTGATTCCCATCAAAGCTGGTCACCTGACTTTGATCCCTGGTGGAAGGAGAGGACCAAGGCTTGAAAGCTGTCTTCTGATCATGGCTGTAGTGTCTGACATTTCCGGGAGACACAGCCTCACAGCTACCTCCTGGTCCCTCTGGCTCTTTCTGCTTCCCTGTTGAGCAATGATCCCTGAGCCTTCGGTGGTGCAGGAGTTGTAGTGCAGATGCATCACCTGGGACTGGGTTCCAAAACTCTGCATTTCGTTGGCTGCGGTTTTCCATAATGGTCTAGAGAATATTGTGGACACTTACTTAAAACTGTATGGAAAACATAGCAAGCATGACTGAGAAAACAATTATGGATTTCCTTCTGTAAATCGGAAACGCATTCTATGGGCTGTTGTAACATTTTTCCTTATGTTTTAGGAGAGAATCTGAGAACCGTACAAAAACCTAAATTTCATGCTTCAATGGCCCTGTGAATCAAACATCCAATAATGTGCTTCCTTATCAGCCTGCAAAACATCCTAGAGTCAGAAAGGCTTCAATAGCTACTGCCCGGCAGTACCGAATCCTGTGACATGCACTCACACACCTTGAGCACCACCTGCGGTGGTTAAATGAGACCGTCGACTTTTGTTCTGTTTGCTTTTTCTTCAGCCTGTCTTAAAAGCAATTACTATTCTATTACTGTTCACACAGGAGAAAATTTACCAGCTCGTAATTGAGAGGCAAGTGGAACAGACAGGAAAACGCAGCCACCTACTCTGGTTTCCAAGAAGCTGCAAACAACAACCTAAATGTTGCGAAGACACACATCCGTCACACCAAATGATACTCCGGGCATGCCTTCATGCCTATTCATGAGAGACTCATCAGTGAAAAGTAGGGCTGAGAGAAGAATGGTAGCAAAACACAATGGGAAGAGGCAGGTCGGCAATGTCTTTTAAACTCAAATTATTATTTCTGGCCCATTAAAACCTCAAAATCCAAATGGAGGCCACTGGTCTCTGAGGAAAACTATCAAAGCAGAACCATAATTCAAGTAATATACACCCAGGGAGCATGAAGAAAACCTGAAGATCTAACATTCAGAAGACTGACTGCAGTTTACAGTAACAACAACAAGAAAAAAACCATAAAAGGATAAAATCAAGTTTTATCAGTCCTATGGCCTATTACTACACTCTCCGAGGGGGAAGACATACCATCCAAGGGGTATGCTCTGGGTAGCCTTTCTTGGCTACACCTATGAGAAGCTTCTAGGCTTCCTTGTGAAGACTCCCCTAAGCTAGGCAATTAGGTCAGGGTAAAAAAGAAAGAGAAAACCAGGCCTCCTCTCAGGATGTGCTTAGTGCCTCCTGGGAGGGGCTGCCAACCCTGTAACCCCCAAAAGTCTTTGGGGTTATGATTCCAGCAAATAACTTGCAGAAGGGAACACAGGAATGCTTTAGAAAGAAATAATACTATGGAATTAAATACCCTTGCTTTGTCTGCCTAGCACAAGAATAGATTAACAGCATCCGGAAAGAAATCCCAGCCAGGGACCTCTGCACTTTTCAGTCCTTGCTTGCTGAAAACACCTCCCACATCATCTCAATAACCGACTCCCGCTCCGCTTGAATATCTTAGTTGGTTTCATCTTCCTGTCTCATCTCATTAAAGTTAAATTTTTAAAGTTTTTGGTTTTTTTTGCTTGGAAAGTGCTATTTTTTTTTAACCTTTTCAATTCAATTGATCTCCAAAGGGGAAAACACAGTCAGCCTAAGAGCATCACTTTAAGCTTTGGAAAGCCTTGAGGAACAGACATCTGATCGATAGAGTTATTGAAAATATGACCAGGTATAAAGTCCCATTTATCTGTACTTGTGGCTTTTATTAAAGCAGCCTAAATCCTTTGCAAATAAGCTTTTTCAGAAAGCTTGATCAATGCAGACAGGCAGGCAGGATTACCAGTGACCCATCATGCAAAACAAAACTTGTCGATGTCCACGGGGAGAACTGGAGGAGCTGAGGTGTTTGAAACCAGCAAAGACCCCAATACTTCCTCTTTGCTTACTTAGACAGCTTCCGAGGCTGTGGCGCACACTCAGCTTCATTTGCAGATGGGTTTGACTGTGCACATGAGATCGTTCAGTGCCAATATTCCCTCCCTGTCATGGCTCAGTTGAAAAGGAAAGCTGAAAATTAGCCATACAGGAGGGGAAAAAAAACCCATGTTATTCCAGTTACCAGGGAGGAATAATTAAATGCAGATTGCCGGTTGCATCTTTAATTTAATTTGGAGGCCTTTCATCCTTCACTATCCTTCATTTGCAGCCAATTCTTGGTGAGCTAATTTGTACCTGGTTCATTTTCCTCCTTTTATCTTATCTGTTTTTCTTTCCTTTTTTTTTCCTCACCAACCGTGGAGATTAGAAGCTCTATGAACAAAAACGACGAAGCCTGGATTGGGACATTCTTTCCTTACATGATATAAATTACTTAAAGTGAATTTGTGCATATTCTCAATACAAAGGGTTGAGATCTAGGAGTCCACTCTGTAGTCTCCCTCCTTCCCTCTCCCCCCGAGGAACTACAGTGTTGAGGAGTTTATAGACGTCTCTGTTTTCTCCAAGGGAACACTATCTAGACTGCAGTCCACATAGAATCATGAATTCCAGAAGGGGTGCAGAGTGAGTCATCCCACCAATGAAATCAAGAGCTTAGAGGGAAATACACGTCAAATTCTAGAAAGAATACAAGTTGAGTGTCATGTAAGAAAAACAGGATTGTAATAAGGAAGATGAAATATGAAACTCATATCAATAATTTAAAAAAGCTTCATCTGTAAAAAAAAATATACCTGGGAGGAGGGAATTGGGGCAGCGCTGGGGAAAGGTGCTTGCTCTAAACTGCTGTCTGAGACAGAGGTTCAGGAGATACAGTGCGTCCTGCATCTTATACTGGAAAAAAAAAAAACACCTGCCACACATGTATCCACAAAAAGTTACATGTGGTCTGAAAATATCTATTCTGAGTATTACAGTATTTCTAGTAGTGTCAAATGTTCCTGCCTTAAAAGTTTCACTTGCTTTTTTTTTTTAATGATTTTTCTCTTTGCCAATACACTTCTTTCCCTCCCTACTTGGTTCTCTTCCCCTTATCAGTCCTCAGTCGCCCTCCACAGACTGATGGAAAAAAAAATCCACTGATTTTTCTTCCCCTCTTTAATAGGCTCCGCACAAGCCTCCCTTTCAGCAGGGGAAGTCCCAAAGGAAGACTGTATCTGAACTGTTTGCCTGCCTGTGTGTGCCAACTTCTCCACTCCTCTGGCACCTCCTGCCAGCAAGTTGAACACTGGATAAAGGCAGTCTTTCCCCCTTTCCAGTTTAGCCCCCTCAAATGTTAATTAACAGCAATGTGCACCATTTTTCTTAAACAAGACCACACATCATAGGTAAAGCAACTTCGGAGATGGGCAATAAAGAAGACTTGGCTTAAAAATAAACAGGCATTCAGAGTTAAAGGTCTTTGCTTCAAAGCACAAGTCCTCCTTTTAGTGGAAAGAACAGGGAAACCACTCATCTTCAAAATAAAAGCCCAACTTTCAAACAAGCATTTGGTAGCTCTAATCATGGGTATAATAAAAGCCATGCTACACACTAAACCAAGCTTATTTCTCTGGGGAAACATGAAAACCAAGTCCCATGGAATGAGAGAATGGGGAACGATTACTGCTTCTTTTATTCAAGGAGAGGGTAGAAATGAAGGTGGCAACTAACTTTTTAAATACAGATCTTTGAAAACTGCATAGACAAAAACTAAACAGAAAGGGTATAGCCACTGTCCTGAGGCCAAGACAGCCAGTCACCTGACATTGGGTGATAGAATGGAGGTGAGGGACATCTGCCTGCTGGATACACAGATTGTTTTATGAACCCACTATCCTGCGAAGACAGTATTTCCCGAACGTCCAGTTTCCTAAGGGAATGGAGGAGCTGGGGGAATCTTTAGGAGACTGGATGCAAAGGACTTTCAGGTGGAGAATTACAGTCCCGTGGTGCAAAGAAATCAAGATTTCATTCAGCTGTAACTGAGTGTTGGGAAGAAAAAAAAAAAAAAGACAAGAGCCCTAGCTCGTTTTCCTTCATAGATCCACCTCAAGAAAGGTGTTCTCATAGACCAGCCTCAAGAAAGGCCACCTGCTCCGCCGCCGCTGCGCACACGCAGGTGGCCTTGCAGGGAACATTGGCCACTTCAGCAGCAGGGGGCGGCTGGTGTTCAGGATCTACCTCAGAGAACGCTAGGCAGCATTCGCTCCAAGCAAGAGTGACCAGTCAAACTCCAAGCCAGAGAGGTCTCAGAGAATGGTCTAGAAAAGGGGTCAGGTAGACCATCCGGATGATGCTGGGGCAGTAAAATCCTTAAGAATGGGGCAGAACAATTCCAACTCACTTGCCAAAGCGTTAGGAAAAGATGGAAGGAGCTCTCCCCCGATATGTGAGTTTTTGCTCTAAGGATTAATTTAGCACCAGGGGGCTGGCTGACTGTACCAGAAGAGATTGGTTCCTAAATTGAGTTGTTCGTACCCCCTTTCTACACGCGTCTCAACTCAGAATCACCTGTAGGCACTATTAAAACCTACAAGTTAATCAAGCCCAGCACCAGGTTTGGGCTCCATCCAGTTGTACAAATCACCTGTGCTAGTTACTGGGGTCCAGTCGCGGACAGGGCAAGATATCCAAAGGCCAACTCTTCCCCCCTAGACCACAAAGCCCCTTCTCCACCCATGACAACCAGAGGAGGAGGCTGGGGACTGCCCATCCTGTAGGTGCTCCACGCTGAGTCCGGGATGGGTGCACGGAGGACTGAGAACTCAAAAGTGTACACGAAACACAAAGGGGATGCAGCCCCTGGAGCCCCACCGCCCCTGTCCCCCCCAGCGGGGGCCGGGCCACTACCTCCTGGAAGAGCTCCAGACTGTAGGTGTTGTCGTCGTCGGCGAAGAAGAGCACTCCGGGCTGCGCGCTCTGGTGCTGGTGCCTCTGGCGCAGCCAGGCGAGGCCCGCGTTGCGTTGTTCGGTGGCGCGCGGCAGCCACGGGCGCTTGTAGCGCCGCGGCGTGGGCACGTGTAGGTGCGTGTTGGGCAACCCGGCCCGCGCTAGGAAGCTGCTCACCAGCTCGCTGCGTGTGGCTCGATCCTCCACCAGAATCCAGTGCAGCTGCGCCACCTGGCGGAACGTGTTGGCCAGGCGGGTCAGCTCGGCTTTCTGCACCGGGCGGCTGTAGGTGGGCGTGATGGCATAGATGGTGGGCAACCGCGGCTCCGGCTGCAGCGGAGGCCGGGACTCGTTGCGCTTCTCGGCAGCGTCACGCCCTAGGCTGCTCCGTCGGAGCGGGACTCGGGAGCCCCCGCAGCCCACTGTGTGGGGAGAGAAGTAGGGGCGCGAAGTGAGTTGGGGCGCGGGCCTGCGGGGATCCACGTCCAGCATGATGATGACGATCAGGATCCAAGGCAGGAGGATGAAGAAGCGGCTGCACAGCGCCGACTTCATGGTGCGCGCTCCCCAGCGTCTAGGGCACCCCCAACACCCCCAAGAAGGACTAGTCTCGGTGTAGGAGGGACCTCGGTGTGCGGCTCGGACGGCGGCGTCAGCAGTTAGGGAGCAGCGGCAGGCGCGCTCTCCATCCGGCCAGGGGTGTTGCGGGGACCTGGGCGTGCAGGTCGGCGCAGATTCCGGTTAATCTGGAACTCTAGGCGGTGCAGAGGGACGGGCTGGAGCTGTGGGTCACTCTGGTTGAAGTCGGCGGGAATCTGGACGCGGTCCAGCAGCGCTCTGCCGGCCCCGGAGTTGTGCCGAGTGCGAGCGAGGCGGTGGTCTCCGCTGCGCTCTTCCTAGAGTGCGAGCTTGGAACCTGCGAGCCAGTGTGCTAGCCGCTCCCGTCCCACACCGCTGCTGGCAAAGCAGCTCCGGATGTCGGCCTCGGCGAGCGCTCTGGGACCCTTTTGGAGGCGGCGACAGATGATGCGAGGGGCTTTCCTCCGTCACATGTCGGTCAGTGCAGCTGCAATCCTGAGTGGACACCGAGGATGCTGCTCCCCTAGCTCCGTTCGCACGCCGCGGCAGAAACCTGCGCTCGCGCCCCTAGCTTTCTTCTTCTCGGAACCTCTCCCGGCTCCAGACAGCAAGATCCCAAAGCAGGGAAAGAAAGAAAAAGCGAGGGGGCGGGGGCGCTGCAGACTCCAGCGTCCTCCCAGTGCTCCTGTGGGAAGATAGCAGCGCTGCTACTGGCGGAGAGGGGCTGCGGGGCGGAGGCGGGAAGGGCCCAAGCTCTCTGCGGGGTCTGAGCCGGTGCTCCCCGCGGCCAGAGGCGGCGGGAGGGAGGATGGTCCCCGTGGGGCTGCGAGACCTCTGTCTGTGGGGGATGCTGTTCTCAGATCGCCCAGAGTGCTCAGCTCTCGGGAATGCTGCAGGGTCTTTGGTGATCAGCCAAAGAAACCCATTCACATGCGGACAACTCCAGAGACCTTAAGAGGGGAGAAGGAGGAAAGAGGCGGAGGAGGCAAAACGGTCCCTTCCCAGGCTCCCAGCTTGTGGGGTTGGTGTACAGAATCTCGGCAACAAAAACTGCTTTTCATGAAAGGGAGAAATCAACAGAAACCCACGGAGATGGAGGGGTTCCGCACATAGGTATTTGGCATGTGTGGCAGCCCATTGCAATGAATCAATTCGAACTGGCGCTGCCCGGCCACAGTTGAATCTCTGGGGAAGAAATTTCTGGAAACTCCAGCTGAGTAGGTTGAACTTATTTTTCTTCATGTTGGAGCCCTCCGTGTTTGCAGTCTTAGGAATTATTCCTCATGATCCGCCCTGGGATCCTTTGAAGGAGGCCTTGGAAGTGGTGTCACCTTCCATTTTCTGCATGAGGGAATGGAAGATGGAGACTTAGAGGATTGCCGAGGTCAGTGGTAACTGGCAGAGTGGGAACAGAACGCAGGTGTCCTGGCTATAACCCTCCACTTCCTCACTGAACACCTGGTCAGCACCGCCTGGTTGCAAGTGACGGCTCTTCCTAGATGGAAGATGTGCTATCAAATCAAGCCTGTCCGAGGATGACAAGCGGAGCCATGACAGTGACTGGAAGACGCTCTCAATTGTTGAGGATCTCTTAGCTGAACCCCAGGCTGTCCTTATGGGGGGGGTAGATGCTCCATCCCATCTCTCTCCTCTTCACGTAGCTCCCAGGGTCTGGCACGGCACGGCTGTGAGTTTTCAGAAAGACCCTCTTAGATTGCCGAAAACTAGGAGCGACTTTTCAAACATTTCCCCTTGCCCCACAACCCAAGTAAATCCTACCCTTCGGTTCCACCTTCCCTGTGTCCTCCAGAACCCAAAACTGTCTCTAGTGGTGAGCCCAAAACCTGAAAACAGTGAACCCATTCGATTCCCTTCCCGTATTCCACTTCAGGACACGTCGTACAGGCCAGCATCCAGAGGGAGAGGGAAGGGAGGGAAGCTGCTACAAGCTTTCCTTAAAGTCGTGAAGGTCACAGACAAATCTACCTGGTCCCCTCCCCTTACCAAAGTAGTTGCTGAAACCTTCCTTATTCTTTTGGACATTTTAAATGCGGTTGAAGAGAAATGCCTTGTGATAGCGGTAGTAAAACTCAGTGGTTAGTGAGTCGTGTCGAAACATCGCTAACCTTTGTTAGTAGGGATATCTTTGTTAGTTGCACTATACCATAAAACCTCTTCTGAATTGTGTTTGCTCCAGAACAGGGCTAGTCAAAGACAGTACACTTTAGCAGTCAGCCGAACATGAAGATTAATGAGAGATGTTAGCTAGCATATAGAATTCATGGATATCAGACACATTCGAGGACTGTAGCTCTATCCTTTCCCGTTGCCCGTGTCTTGGGGTTACTATTGCTGTGATGAAACAAGGTGACCAAAAAGCAAGCTGGAGGGGAAAGTGGCTTATACTTCCACATCCTGGTCCATCATTAAAGGAAACCAGGATGGGGACTCAAACAGGGAAGGAACCTGGAGACAGGAGCTGATGCAGAGGTCGTGGAGGGGTGCTGCCTACTGACTTGCTCATCATGACTTGCTCAGCCTTTGTTAGACATCCAGGTGCCACTCACAATGGGCAGTGGCCTCCTCTACCAATCACTAATAATGAAAATGCCCTACAGGTTTATCTACAGTCCGATCTTATGGAGGCATTTTCTTAATTGAGGTCCCCTTTTCTCAAATAACTCAGCTTGTTAAGTTGGCATGAACCCATCTAGAACAATCCTCACCGTGTGCTCAGTTCCATCCTCCTGTCTTGGGGATTGTCTTGGTTCCTGGGTTCGGTTGTCAGTCAGGACACTTTCTACTTCTATATACTGAGTCAATGGACCTCTGAAAGTCTGCTTAATTTTTTTTGAATTATTTAGTTTCGAATAAGAAAGCCTCTTCTAGGTTCATGTATTTAAACACTCCAGCTGGTTCCCAGCAGGTGGTGCTGGTTGGGAAAAGCTTAGGAGGTATGGCCTTGCTGAGCAGGTGTGTCCTGGGGGTGGGCTCTGAGAGGAGCTTGCTTGGCTACTTGTTGAGAAGTGAGCTCTTAGCTTCCTGCTCCTGACAACTCTTTCTGCTCCCCATCCACAACCTCCGAAAACGTAAGCCCCATAAATACTTATGTAAGCCACTTTGGTCACGGTGTTTCAGCGTAGCAACAGAAAAGTCAGTAAACATGTATAAAGTCATGGGATTCCTCCTGCCTTCCTCATACATAATACTTTGTTCTCATTCATTACTCTGCCTCGTGGTATACCTCTCCACTCCTTGTCCCCTCCCCCCCTCAGGCTCAGTTTCCTTATCTGGAACATGGGGTAATAATGTACATATACTCCATAGGATAGTGAAAAGAATAAAAAGGGGTAAGTTAGATATCTACCAGAAGAATTGGCATCAGCTTGGAGACCTCTGTGCATCATAATCATCACAAGGCTGAAATGCAAAGTATTTTCTGAGCAAGACTGGCAATAGTGGCCCCACATGTAGGGTGGGTCACCGGTGTGGTGTGGTGTAGTCTCTTCCTAAGCTGGTACAAGCAGAAGTGGAAAGCTGAAATTAGTTTACCTTAGTGTACCCCAAATAAAGCATATGCAATAAGGATGGTATGATTCCGAGTGACATTTATTTCAAATGGCAGAATATGCCATACTGCTTTACATTCAGTGGCAAAAAAAAAAAAATGTGACCCCAAATCATCCATGATCAAATCTAAGTAAAGATACAAAGTTACTAAGAATGTCCATCAGAAGAACAAAAACCCCAGACTTCACTTCCCAGTGTAAAAATGTATCACCTTCAAACATGTAGACTTTATCAGGTGCTGAAATGGAAACCACCGAGGATAGGAGCTGGAAGAAAATGTCCTGCTTCTGAGGTATCGTAGCTATTGCGCCTGTCCATGGAGCTCGGGCTTATGATACTCTTACATAAAACAATTGAAATTTGATCTGTGCTTGGTAATGAAGGTTGGTGGAAGTCACTAGCGTAATTAAAACAATTACCTAACTTGAGAGTCTCTGCTCAGCCTCTCCGTGTTTATTTTCATTTAATCTCTCTAATTATTTGTGTAGCAGAGTGAGCCTTGCTTCTCCTGTACTAATGAAGCCTTGGATTGCCGGCGTTTCTGCATTCATTTTGTTCTCAAATGCACAAAGGTAAAAAAAAAAAAAATCCCATCTAGGGAGTTAAGAGAAAGCATGTGTAATGACTAAACAGTTGCTTTGCTGTGTTGAGGAATCCTGCAGCACACACGCCGCAGCACGGTGAGCCCACCGTGTTGACTGATCCCTTTTGACATTTGAGCCTGGGGTTTGCTAGTGTGACTAAATCAAGCTTCAAGTGAGCACTGGGGACATCCTTGGTATTCTTAGTCAAGTAAGAAAAAGATCAAGGGGGGAAAAAACCTATCCTCACACAATTATATAATTTTAAATATCTAGATGATGAGAATGTAGTTATGGAGATCAGTTGATAGACTCTGAGCTCATGCATGGGTGAGTGATGATTTAATATAAAAGTGTTGGTGACAAGTTAACTCGGACTTACATGCATGTGTACTTACATGGACATAAGTGCTTTCTGTCTAAATGTCAGCCATAGATATGTGAAAGAATTATGTCAGTAATTCTAGGGGCGCATTTCAGGGATACCACCAGTTTTATTGATCACTGTCAGAAACATGACACTCAGATCACATATTAAATGGCTCATTCATTTGTTTTATTTTCATCCATTTTAACGCTCTACAAATATCATGTTAGACCAAAATTGTTTGGAATTTGAATGCTTTCTTACAATTTCAGATATTTGCAGCTGTGAGCAGAATGCAATTTGTTCAGTAAAATTTCTCTTGTTTTTTCTTTTAATATTTTTTCATATGTATGAATGTTTAGCTTGCATGTATGTATGCCTTTGTTCCACATGCCTGCTGCCGTTGGAGGTCAGAAGAGGGTATCAGATCCTCTGGGACTGGAATTAGGGATGGTTGTGATACATTGTCGTGGGTGCTGTGAACCCAACCTGGGTTCTCTGAAAGGATATCAAGTCCTTTTAAACACTGAGCCATCTCTCTGGTCCTACAATAATCCCATTTGTATAGAATAGGAAGTTATCCAGCACCCACATTTTCTAGACAACT